CTGGGCGCGGCTGCTGCACGAGGCGCCCGGCCCGGGCCGCCGGCTCAAGGGCGTCAGCAAGAAGGGGCTGGCCCGGGGCTGCTTCGGCCTCAAGCTGGACCGCATCGGCTCCCTCAGCGGCCTGGGCTGCTAGACCCGGTGAGTGCGGGCGGCGCGGCGCGGCGCGGCGCGGCCGGGAGCGGAGAGCAGAGCAGAGGAGCGGGGGAGCGCAGGGCAGGAAGCAAAGCGGAGCAGTAAGCGGAGCAGACCCCGCACAGGCCCCCGGGCCAAAGCGGACCAGCCACTTAGCTGGGGAGCGCGGGGCAGGGGCCAGGCAGCAGAACAGGAGCTGGGGCAGGAAAGAGGGAGTGGACTGGGCAGGGAGCAGAAAGCAGAGCCGCGAGGAGCAGAGGACCGTGCAGCACCCAGGGACAGTGCAGGGCGAGGTTGTGCTCCCCCTGCCGTAAAGACCGCCCCACACCCTCACCCTAAGGGCTTGAAGTGGACCAAAGCCTTTCCCCTTTCCCCGGGATGGCCCAGCCAGCACCGCCCGGCTTTGATCCAGCCCATCGGATAGATGCGGCATCCCCCCCGGGGGCTATGGAGGGGTTGCCTGCAGCGCCTGGGCTGGTCCCCACAGCCGGGGTCTCCATAAGCCCTCATCAGGGCGCTTCCCAGCAGAGGCCAAAACAATAGAAAAGTTAGGTGGAAAACTAGTAACCCCTGCTTTCCCCACTCAGCCACAGCCCCCCGCAGCAGCCAGCACCTGCACCAGCCTGGGCGTGCTCGGGGCTTGCAGCCGAGCTGGGCTGCAGCACAGGGCTGCATGGTCCCGCTCACCCCCTTGCTGGCTGCGTCCCTTCGGGCGGACAGCTCCTCTCTCCGGGATCCAATGACCTCCGCAGCACAGGGTGCATGTCGCAGTAGTGCGGGGCTAGCTGCCCTGGTTGTGAGCAGAGAGTGAGGACAAGGTGAGGGCACATTGCTCCCAGGACCACTGAGACCCCAGCCGTGCAGGGGAGCTCCCTCCTCTGCTGGGGCTGCCGGTCCAGCAGAGCAGGAGCCACCCAGATCCCCAGTGTTAAGTGAGGAAGAGCATCCAGGGACATGGCCTGGGTTGGAGGCTGTGCCAGCCTCCTCTTGGCCGTCAGTGCAGGTCCTCCAGTACATGGCCCACCCCAAAGCCTGTGCCCACGACGACCGTCCCTGAGCCCGCCATCAGGATCAGGTCTCCCAGACTGCCTGCCCTACCTGAGGTCCCCAATTCTGCTGTCCACTGTGACAGCCCCTTCAGCCACGGCATGCTCCTAAACCACCTATTTCATACAGGGCTGAGCGATATGGGGATAAATCAAGGGGCCTGGGTCCTCATCGGTGGGTCTGGCCACCTCCCCCCAGCCTTGGCCAGCACCTGTATGCTTGGGTCATTATAATTAGCACTGCCATTACTTAAAAGCTTTGGCCAAAGCTTGGAAGAGCATATATGCTCCCCACACTTGTGTCCTGGGGGCAGAGCACCGGCGGAGCACAGTCCCTGCCCCAGCTGGAGTGATGCATTGGGGCCTTACTGGGATATTGGGCTCTTCAGCAGTAGGATACTTGCGGCAGGGGCTGCAGTGACAGCACAGCGCACAGATTCCTAGGGAGAGGCCCTGCCTGGCAAGTAGTTCTAATTAGCCTGTTAATTAGCAGGCAAGCTGAATTGATTAAGTCCAGCCTGGTAGTTTGCTGGCCCTCTCTGCAGTAAGCCCAAGGAATCGGGAGATGGTGTGGAGGCTTGATGCTGCCTCCACCCCACCGTAAAGCCCTGTGGCTGCCTCCCTACCCATGTGCTTGATCACACCTGTAGAAGAGCCCAGTTTGGTGCAGATTTCCAGTGGCTTATTTCCCATTTAAACCAGACCCTCGGGGACTCCTTGGGAACTAAACAGGGCAGTGTCCAAGTGTAGCTGCCCCATCAGAGGTGTCCAGCAGAAGCCAGGTCCTTCTGCTGGAGCACGTGGCACAGCTCCAACTCATCTGCTTAAGGAGCTTTGCAAACAGTGGGCAGGAAGGATCTCAGGCATAGGACCAGTCCATTCATTTCTGCACCAGGAAGCCCCTTCCCCAGGCCCCGAATCCCATTTGGGGCTGGGGCGAGTCACTGCGTGGGGGCCCTGTAAACATCCCAGCAGCCTGTGCACAGCTATGCGCTGTGCACCAAAGGGTCAGTAACTGCTGTGGCTCCTATTCTCCAAGCAAGGAATGACCAGTTGGCTCCTCAGTGCCAGCTGAGCCAAGGGCCCGTCTAGTCCCGTGCTCCCGATGGCAGGCGGGTACTTTACGGGTCAGCACAAGAGGGCCAGTCCGTGCCCTGCAGCGACTGAGCTGGGCACAGAGAGGGCCAGCTCCTGCCCTGGGGTAAACAGGCCTGGCTTTGCTGATTTACACCTGGGCCGTCTGGCAAAACAAGGCAGATGGATCAGAGATTCAGGTCAGGCCAGGCTGGAGCCCGTGCTAACATTGAGCTGGCATTTCACAGGGGCCAGACGGGGGAACTGAAGGGGGACACAGGCAAGTCGGCAGCAGCACCAGGCTTCTGGGCTCAATCTGCACAGAGGGACCTTTTGCTGGTGTCCCTCTGAGAGCGCCCTCAGCATTTCCGGGCACCCAGACCCCAACAGGCACATGTCCCTCACAACTCAGGACCCCCCTCCATGGATTAATACCCAGCCCAGAGCACAACCCCCTCGTGCATCCTCTGATGCCTTACCCGCTTCACAAGCTGCCGGGCAGAGCGATGAGTTCAGACAGGATCCCTGCTCCTGGGCTCATTTCCCTCCTCCTTCTCCAGGGGCTGGTTGTGGGTGCAGCCCGTCAGGGTCTGTAAGGCTTTAGGCAGGTGGGAAGTGCCAGAAAAGTCAGGAAAAACCCAAACAGCTCTGCTCTGTGGGGCTTCATGCAGCTTTAGGGCAGCACCAGCAGTTCAGATGGAGCCCCTGAAGGTCTCCCAGCAGATGGATGGGCCCCTCTCCCTGAGCAGGTTCAACTCCCAGACTGCCAGGTCAGCACTGCCATTGATCTGCCTCTCTCGGGATTGTTCCAGAGGGGATGGACGGTGGGGGAAATGCTCAGGGGCTTTCTCCTCCTCTGGTTTGTCCCAGGGCTTTGGACTGACATCACAATTCTCCCTGGCCCCATGTGGCTGTCTCCTGACCACCACCCAGAGGAACAGGGAACCCCAGGACTGCACAGAAGACCCGGCTGCATTTGGATTTGCGGTACGAGGAGCCGTGGCACCAGCTGTTTTGATTGATGTTATTTCTTATGATTAAAAAAGAAAAAAACTTCTCTCTCTCTCATATATCCGATATATAACAAAAGTGCTCCCCAGGACCGCGGGGCCGGGGCTTTCCCCGAGAGACTGACGAAGCCAGCTGTATACCGTTGCTGTTTGTAAATTCATGTCCTGCATAAATGTATTTATGTTGTAAAGCTATTTATATATTGTTTATAAAGAGATATTTATAAAAAAAATTATTTATGTAATTGACGGAAACGTCGAGCAGTGTAACCTTTTTTTTTGTCCTAAATAGTTGAAAGATGTAAAAAAAAAAAAATCCCTCCTGCCCAAATAATTATTCCATGTGGCATTTTGCAGCCTGTCTTTCTTTCTCCATTTAACTCACAGCTTATATTTCTGAAAGGGCTGGATTCATTCAGGTGAACAGAGCTGTCCAGCATTAGAGGGGCCCCCAGAAGGTACAATTTACACTGTGACCCCACAGTTTATATGTGCCTAGCTATGAGATGCTTTCATTCAGGAGCATGAATATGATGTCAAGCAGGAGGGTCCTGACGCGGTGGCCCTCCAGTTCTGCACCAGCAGGCACAGGGTCTCAAGCAGCATATTCCCAGGCTAGATCCCAAAGTGGACTATAGCAGGTTAAAATCTGCAATCAGTCATGCTGCCAAGCTTGCCCCTGGATTTGCAGTAGTGAAGCCAAGCAGAATTTGGCCCATTTGTTTCAATAGGGATTTTGCCTACATGTAGTCTACAGGATCGCGCCCTTTATTCCTTTACTAGAGTCACAGAAAATGAGGGCTGGAAGGGACCTCAGGGGGGCACCGAGTCCAACCCCCTGCTCAAAGCAGGACCAGCCCCAACTGTGGTGATTCTCAACCTCCTCAGACTGAAGACCCCCCTTGAAAAATGCCAGCTCCGCTTTCCCTTGTTTTCTGCTAACAAAAATACTCAAGCAGCAATCCTGTTGCAAAGAACTTAGAAAGGCGGCAAGGGGCAGACTGGCTTTAACATCACAGAGTCCTCTTTGAAATCTCTGGATGGAGGTTGAGAATCCAGAAGGTATTTGCACACCTCATGGTGCTAATATATATAGTATACTCACAGCACAACACCCTTAATAGGATCTTAGGGCACCCTGATTGAGAGTCACCACTTTAACAGGTGTCCCACATAATCACTAAGCACGGAGCTAGAGTCCTCCAAAGACTCAGTGAGCTTTGGACCAGACCTGGGATACATTAGTGGGAAACAGCCTGTTGCGCTGGGTGATGCTGTTATTCTAAGACCACGGGTTATTAAGCACCTTGTTGATAGCCCCATCCTCCCCACGGCCTCTGCGCAGCTATGAGCCCCTTGCTCCAGCGGGGAAATTTATTGAGCCGTGCCTAGGACAAACACACAGACAGACCAAAATTTATGGAGCGTGGCCTGACAGGGCTTCGTGGCTGTAGCTGCTGCCACTGCTCCTTGCTATGGAAAGCACGCAGAATAGATCGTTAAAAGGACTCTGAGCTTTAGAGGAAACAGAAGTGAGGGGAGGAAGGCAAGCAAAGCTCTTGCGGGAGGGCTTTGTGGTCTCTTCCTTCCCAGAGCTGCAGGAGCTGCCCAGCACAGCCAGCTTGGGAGGGCTTTGGCAGCCCCAAATCCCAGCCCTGCTACAACCAAGACCCTGGGTCCCTACCAGTAAAGTCACAGGGTCTAGGTGCCTGACAGAGGGTAAAGACCCCGGTACAGCCATTGGGACCCAGGGACAGAGAGACTGCCTCCACTAGCAACCATCAGGTAGCCAGAGAAACCTGCAGCCAGGCCCTCCCTACCCCACATCTGCAGGAACAGCAGATGTACCGGGCTTGCAAAGGCTGTGCCTGTGCCACTGACAGCTCCATCCTCCGTTTTCTGCCCTTCCACAGGACATTTCTGTCTTGTCAGAGGTGCCCAATTCACAGGTAGCCTTAACCCAGAGCGCACAGAGACAGGCCAGAGGGGAGGCTGGTGGGACCAATGGCATCTCCTGCTGGGAGCCAAGGGGAGCTCAGAGCATCCTCCCCAGAGACTTCTCCAGGCATTTGAATTTGTTGCCTGCAAAGCCCTGCTAACTGGAGCTCTTGACACCAAGCACACCCTGCAGTTCCTGGTCCATGGACTTGGCCCCCTATCCCCTCCCGATGCAGACAGATCCTTAGAGGGAAGAACAGCTGCCTCTGAGCCCTGTGATAGATTCCCTTATGCCCCCTCCCTGAGTATCACGCCAAGCTCTGGGAAAAGCAGAGAAGACACCGCTGGCCTCAGCCCTCCAGGGTAGGAAAGCACGATAGGGCAGGGAGGGTGGGTGGCTCCGGTACATCTCGGGGTTGCATTTCCTGCATACTAGGGGGAGAGACTAACGCAGTAAGCGAGGAGCTGGTCGACTGCCTAATGACTTCTCTTGCAACCGTACTTCTGTCACGTCCAACAACCAGGCAGCAGCTGGTGGGAAGCATTCAAGGACCTGGCTTGGGTGGAGGGGTCTCTGCCCCAGGCCCAGGGGCTCATACTACAAGCTCCAGGCCCCTGGCCAGCACTTGTGAACTCCATAGTTTACCCCTCAGTCAAGACCAAGCGCAGCACACCACAGCAGCTGATGCCTTCTCCCCTCCCGCAGCAGCTCCTCCAGAACAAGGTACAGTGTCACAGGGAGTGGGACCACATGGAGCACCTTCTGCCAGCATGCAGGCCTCTTGCTGTCCTGGACGGCTGCTCTGGCCACTTCTGCTCTGTGGAAACGGATCGAGCCAAAGAGTGGGGAGCAAAGCTGCAAGAACTGAACATAGCTGAGCAAAGACCCTGCAGCCTCCTCTCCCTTGGCCTGGCCCGGCCCTGCCTGCAGAAGCTGGACCAGATGAAAGCTGCTACTGCCCCAGCCTCAGGACACAGCTGTGCCAACACACCCTAGAAGGGGCTGGCTTCCTCAGGCAGCAGAAGGCAGGTGGGAGCATCAGCAATAGGGTACAAGTCCACCAGCAGACAGGAGGCCTCTACTGCCACAGGGGAGCCTGGGTGTTCAGACTTGAATGGAGCAGACCTTGCATCCAGGCCCTGCTATCAGCCCCAGGCCCTTTCAAGAAACTCCGGCTCTTCACTTCCACTCAGGTTGAGAATTGCTGCCACGGGACATGGGTACCACGGTCTGCACAGGCTACTCCCAGATCCACTGCTGCCAGCCCCTGCGCCACCTCAGCCAGGTGGAGAGGCAGCAGTCTGGGATGAGCTGGACTCCCTCAGTCCCAAGCAACCACGAATTTCTCCCATCCGTGACCCTTTACTTACAAGGGAGCAAGGCAGGATGGGCAGCAGTCTTGCAAGAGCTGCCCACATCCTGAGGCAAGACAGGCCATGCCTGATTCAGTGGGGCCCTACACCTAACCTCTGGGTGCAGCCCCAGTGTACAGGGGTTGGCACAGCCCTCTCTGACCCAAGTCAAAATGACAGCGCCTCCTAAAGCCAACATGCCCTATAGGCACACAAGAGACGTGAGCGCAGGGCCTGGCCTTGACAGCAGAGAAGTCCCCTTCCTGGTCACGTCCAGACCAATGCAGGGACACGGCAGCCAAGATCAGGCAGGCAAGAGGCATGGGAAAGGCACAAGCCTGCTCACTTCATAAGACTTCTGCTAGCAAGCACCCACAGAGGGATAACCCTCTCCCTCCATCTTCTCTAAGGTTTCGCTTAGCCCATGAACCCTGAGGGGCGCAGACGTTGCCCAGGGGAGCTCCCAGAAGGATCCCTCCAAAGTGCACAGAGATGGAGCGAGTGGCCTCGTCAGGTGGCACAGATGGAGGGCAGGGGATTCATTAGGCCGGGGGTGGCAGCAGAACTGCTGTGAAAATCCAGGGTAATGACTTGCAAACAGCCTTTGTCAACAGCACCTCTGCGGGCTGGGAAAAGAGCTCAGCAGAGGAGGCCAAGGTGGCCTCCCTTTGATAGGGATAAAACAACACCAGCTATTTTCCAGCCCCCGCAATAATTAGCCTACTCTATTACCCATAATCCCACAGGCCAAGGGGCCCACAATGGCCGGCGTTATCTGCTGTGGGGGAGAAAGGGAGATGATTCGACGCCTCCTGGAAAAGCTTAAAAGCTTTAAGAAAATAAGAGAGTCCTACATAATCCCCTCCAATTACACTAACGAGGGGCTCTGATCAAAGCACTCAGCAGATATCAATGCCACAGCCTTCCTACCACCCACAGGTGGCCCATGTTACCTTGGGAAGCCATGGCACTGGAGGGGGGGCTGTGGGGAAGGGGTCAGGGCCTGCCCAGTATGTCTTCGGCAGAGTACAGGAGAGAACCCAGGAGCTCTGGGGCCTGCCACGTGCCTTAGTCACAAAACTATCCTTCTTCCTTGGAGAGAAGCAACATTTTCTAATGCAAAAATGCCCACTCTGATTTCCCCATGGGCTTCATGGCTTTCAAACTAGGTAACTGCCCTCCTCTCTCCTCTGCCAAAGAGCTCCTGGGAAAGCCTTCTACCCAGGGGGCTGCATTAGCCCTGAAACCAGGGCTGGGAGGGACCTCAGGAGGTCACACCTACTACAGCCCCCTGCTCAAGCCAGGATCATCCCTGACTAAGTCAGTCCAGCCACGTGTCTGTCCAAGCTGCTCTTGAAAACTTCCAAGGATGGAGACATCACAGCTTCTCTAAGCAGCCTGTTCCTATGCCTGGCCACCCTCAGAGTCAGAAAGTCCTTCCTAATCTCCAACCTAAGTTCCTTCTGCTGCAGCGCGAGGCCATTGCTCCTAGTCCCATCCCCTCCAGGCACAGAAAATGGTCCATCTCCATCACAGAACCAATCAATTTAGAGGGCAAACTCCTTCCTCTTGAAAATACAGCTCTAGCTGGAACAACCTTCCCCAGGGTAGACCGCAGGCTGATGAAATACCAGCCAAATGTCAACCGTTCTGGAGAGACACTGGCTGACCGCAGGCATCAAGGGAAGGAAGTAAAATAGGGACAGGGATTTTTAAAGACTCTGCTGAGAAATTCAACCTGCCGAGCTTAAAAAAAAAAATCACATTGGAAGTCCAGAGTGGAGTTGTGGAGGAGAATGGAGGAGTTTGAATTTGCACTTAACACTTTTTCCAGTACTGCAGCGTTACCCTCTGCCTGGAGAGAAAGAAACTAGTCAGCTTCCTCTCAGGGTCTGGAGTATTAGCAGGATGCAGCAGGGTGCAGGGTGGAGACATAGCAGAAGCTTCCTACAGCTGATTTCCTGTTGT